GGTAGGTTTACCAAGGGATTAAAGCGTTCTCAACTAAAAAGTTATTCGTTTTTAGGGCTTAAATTCAAAATCTCTAATTAAGCACGGAGGGATCATAACTATCTCACCAAACTTGTCGTTGGTGTATAAAAATGAAAAGGAAAAGAGGCGTTCCCCAATTTTAATGTGCCATCAAAATATTGAGATTTGCTAATAAAGTAGATATTGCTCACTATATCTAGTATTCTTGTTTTCTCTCTTTTTGAAGTTTAATTATTTAATTTTTTAAGACTTAAATGTAGTTCTAAAACTTTAAATTGATATTTTTAGAAACAACTAGGAGTAATTGATTTAATTCTTGTGACAATATTTTAATATAATTGACTCTCAAAGGCTAAAGAAAAAGCCAAATAATTAGTATGGCCATGATTGAAGTGGAATTTTGGGACCATCATAAATTATAGTTAGATGAATATTATTCTTCTATGCTTAATTAAAAGTCTCGGATTCCTTTAATAAATTTTACGCAAGCTGAATTCGAATTTATTGGAGTCCTATACGAATATCAAATAAGGCGAAATGAAGCCACCCTAGCCCATTGAGTGCTTTACTTCGGGCCATCGACATCATACGCTCTACTGAAATAGATTTCGCGGAAAACCAGCTATATCCGATCTTGGTTGGCCTTTCACCCCTAGCCACAAGTCATCCCCGTATTTTGCCACATACGTGGGTTAAGTAAAATAAAAAATTAAAAAAATGGCATTTTGGAAAAAATGCAAAACTTAAAGACAAAACCCCTTTTATGATATAGTATAAGGAAAAAATTATCAAACTTTATCAAAGTGGCTAAAAGGACAGGTGAAAGGTAAGGCAACCTTTTATATATTTATGATAATTGTCCTACATTTTGATATGTACAACATCAAATGTGGGACCCAACATTTAAGAATAGCCAATCAGATTTCAGAAACAGATATCTCCCCTGCTTATGATATGACAACTCCAAATTGTGGGGCTGAAAATTTGTTTCAACAGCCAATTAAAATTCAGAAACTTAAATATGAAAAAAAAAAACATTTTTTAACTAATAATGGACTTCCAAAGGAGTCAATTTCAATTCTTATTTTCTTCTTTTCCTTTTTTGTTTCATTGTTCTGATGTAAATGAGTTTTGATTGACCAAATTTGAGGGAGAAATTTAAAAATAGTCAGATTTACAAGTAGTCATTTAAAAATAGCCACAGTTTCAAAAGTAATCAAAATTTAGTCATTTTTATGTAAAGATAAATCTGAACAAAAATATTATTTAAATCCGAAAAAATATTTCAGTATAATATACTGGAGTTCCAATATATTATACTAGAGTTCCAGTATAATATACCGGTTTAGCATAATATACTGGAACTTTTCGCGTGTTGGAGTTCCAACATAATATGCTGGAAGTTCATATACAAGCGCATCGATCTCCAGTATATTATGCTGGAACTTTCTGTGTTGTAGCAAAATAGTGGTTATTTTTCAGTGACTTTGCAAACGCTGGCTATTTTTGAATGACCAGTTCGAAAACTGGCTAGCCTGTGCTATTTTTACCAGCTTTGACGGGCAGCCCGGTCCATAAAACATATCGCGTTTATATAGAGTTTGGGAAAGAACCGCACCTTTTTGGGTGTGATATAGACAGATACCCTAATACAAACATTAATAATTACTTACACGACTTAAACCTGCTTGGAATATGAATTAGCAATAAAGTCATTTTTGAACGATAAATTTCATCGTTTAAAGGGAAAATCTAATGACATTACTGCCATTGTAAACAAAACATAATTACTGTAACGTTACAAAAAATAATTTTTTGACTTTGTATCCGGTGATACAATTTAATAAATTTATTGTTATAGTTTTAACGTGATAAAATAATAGTTCCATGACTTTAGTGTTGTTGTGGATAAAATTCAAAGGCTATACATGAAATTAATCTTTAAAGTTAAATTGTGTGTTATTAGTATCTAAACAATCAATAATTACTAAATGCACCTACTATACTTTATGATGTTAAAAACATATTTATACCGGGATGGATAGGATCCCTCCATTCTTAATCAGGAGTGTCCAGTTCAAGCTTTTAGTATTGGAAAAATCTTGTTAGGGAATATATCGGGAGAAATTCAAAAATAGCTAGATTTACAACTGGTCGTTCAAAAATAGCTCAGTTTCAAAAGAAATCAAAATTTAGTCACTTTTCATGTAAAGATAAATCTGAGCGAAAACACTGTTTAAAACCCGAAAAATACGTTAGTATATTATACTGGAGTTCCAGCATAAGTATGCTTGAACTCCAGCATATTATACGGAGTTCCAGGATAAATATGTTGGAACTCCAGCATAATATGATGGAGTTCCGGCATAAGTACATTAGAACTCCAGCATAATATACTGGAGTTCCAGCAAGTATAATTGTCCAGTATAATATACTGGAGTTTGGAGCATCGGTGCTCCAGTCTCTAGTATATTATACTGGAGTCAGCAAAGTATACCGGTCCAGCATAATATGCTGGAGTTCATACACAAGTGCACCGAACTTCAGTATATTATGCTGGACCGGTCTCTGTTGCAACAAAATAGTGGCTATTTTTCACTGACTTAGTAAGCGCTGACTATTTTTGAATGGCCAATCCGAAAACAGGCTATACCGTGCTATTTTTACGAGTATATCCCCTTTAAATGGACCTTACGTGCCGTAAATCCAGATATAATCAGGCTCGAATACAAATATTAATTATCAAACACCTGATGGTAAACTAAAAAAAACTATTGAATGATGTTGCAATTCACTAATTTAATTTCACTTCAAATCAGTCACTAACTAATTTCCTATTGAGAATGGAATACAAAACAAGTTAGCAAACCTATTTATATATTTGAATAGTTAATACTTTCATTATTTCATTTTCAAAAAAATTATAAAACAAATAAGACGCAAAACTGGTCGGTGGGAACAATTTTATATTGAAAAAAACTAGCTACGTTTATTAGTTTTATGGGAAATTGGTAATACAGTTTGCTAAAATTAGAAGCCGCCAAAACAAAGAGACGACAATATATTGAGGATAAGGAACAATGAATTAAATAAATGAAATCACGTTCAATAAAATAACAAAATTATGTTAATCCATTTAAATTATCTCATATCAATATTATGCAATATTTACACAATGACAACAACAAATATAAATTTAGCAAAATTATACAAGTTGGGTCTGAAAAAAGTAGTGTCGCAGATCTTATCTACCTTGTAAATATAAAAATATTGTTTCTAGTAGACCCTCGGCTCAAGAATAATCACAATAATTTTAAAAGAAACATGAAAGTGGAAAAGCCATATAGAAAGAAATAGTAACAACAACAACAAGAAAGAAAGCTGAAACAAAAGAAAAAACACTTTGTATGAAAAATATGCGACTAATAATAGGAATCTAAGAATAAGAAAATATGTCAATAATAATAATACTGCAGGAATGAAAAAGAAGTACGCTCGACTACCTCTTACACTTCTGCTCTCATTCTCGACTTTCATACCCTCGTATCGAGTGATGTTCTTGGTGAGCCGTAGATATGCTATGTCCTGCCTAATCACATCTCCCAAATACCTCTAATTAGGTCTACTTCTAGCCCTCCTCATATTCCCCCGTGGCCAATAAGCGTTTGTTCTTTATTATTATTATTATTATTATTATTATTATTATTATTATTATTATTATTATTATTATTATTATTATTATTATTCTCTGATTTCTATTACTACATGTTGTTTCTTTTGCTTCGATTATCTTACTGCTTTATTATTTTGCCGTTGTTACTATTCTTGACTTCATTATTTTTTATTACATGCTTCTTCGCTACTGTTTGTCAACATGGTTTTTTTTTCTTTTTCAATCATGCATAGGAATAATTCTCTTCGGTCGATGGTCTATCAAAACTTCTTTATCGTCACAATATACATATTATTTTTCTCAAACTCCACTTATGAAAATACATTAAATATATTATTGTTATTGTTGCAACAATTCCATAATAACTTAACATGATTGGGAAAAGAAAAAAACTAAATATAATTTAACATGAAAATCAAATCCGTCAGCAATCACTTTCATTAGTTATGACACAAATATTTTACTCCAATATTATTAGTTAACCTTTATGTAGTATTGCACCATGTCATTGGACGGTGGGAGAAATAGTATTTTTACAACTTAGTTCCAATCCAAATAAAAATATTAAAATATGATTACATGAAAATATAAAATATGAAAAAGCTGATTGAGCTATTTTATATTATTGAATAGATCTGCTACGTGTCATCTAAGCCTATTTGTGGAGTCACAGCTGGCTTGAACAACCAATCAGATCAATTTAAGAATAGATCCTCAACAAACTAGTTCTAAATAAATATTATTAAATATTGAACTGATCCTCAACTCTCCACAACAAATAAATCAAGCAAAACAAAATAAGTAATATTTTAATTTAAAAAAAATAAAGTTATTGCTATGTGACCAGGAGGTCACAGGTTAAAGTCGTGAAAACAGCCTCTTGCAGAAATGTAGGGTAAGGTTGCGTATAATAAACCCTTGTAGTCCGGTCCTTCCCCGGACCCCATGCATAGCGAGAGCTTAGTGCACTGGACTATCGATATTCCGATGTACAAGGCATTTCTCTTTAACAAGATCCTAAAAAATGGTCGCATCCAAAAGGATGTGATATATACAGTCTAACCTAATATTTTTATCATCTCCCTTAAAAATTCATCACGTAAAGCTTGTTAAAGCACGAAACAACTCGAGATCTCTGATTAAATGTGAATCAATCAAACACATCTCACCACAATTCGTGATGGTCAAAGAAAAATATTAGGAAAAGTTTATTTAACAATTTTATATTCAAAATCTATTAGATTTGCGGAGTCACAGCTGGCTTAAGCAACCAATCAGAATTAAGAAAAAATACTACTCAACAAACTAGTTTAAAAAATAATATTAATAATTGAATAGCAAATTAAAGAAGAGCTAATAATACTTTGACTATTATCTGAGTTACCAAAATACCCCTTCCATAAGTACATAAAAAAACTAAAACCCGTTGGACATTTTCGGGAAATTGGAATTATACCTTGCTAAAAATAGAAAATACAGTAACTATTTCATATTTAAATGCGGCGTCAAAACGAAAGAACGACGCCGTATCGTGAATCATTAGCAATGAAACCGGCGCCGGAGAAAATCTGGTCAATATCGGAGTCAACGCCGGCGCCGTCAGAATCATTTCTCTTAGCAAAACGACCTTTAATTCTTGGCCTTGTTTCAGCATAAGCTTTTCTTGAAGCATATCTTATAGTTTTCTCAAATTTTCGATTTTTCTTCTTTTCTCTGTACCTTAAAACTCTTGCTTCTCTATTCATTCCAATTAATTTTTCAGCTGGAGCTGAACTTCCCATTTCAATAATGCTATTCACACTTCTAACAAAAGGGTATGATATTTCTGAAATTGAGCTCCCATCTGGTACAATTCCAACATCTAAAGATGATGATGACACCTGAAATTTCAAATAGATCAAGAACATTAGCTTAACTTTCAAGAAAAATGTAAAATTAGACAAAAAAATGGCAGTCCGGTGCACTAAACTCGCGTTATATGCGGGGTTCCGAGGGGCCGGACCAAAAGGGTCTATTGTATGCAGTATTACCCCGCATTTCTGCAAGAGGTTATTTCCACGGCTCAAACCCGTTACTCATGCTCACATGACACCAACTTTACCAACTACGCCAAGTCTCTTTTCATGCAAAATTGGTTGTTGGTAAAATGATGGGTTTTTCAAAAAAAAAAAAAAAAAAAAAAGAGCTTAAATTTCAAGAAATTTGCAAAATTGGGTATTGATAAAATGATGGGGTTTTGAACAAAAAAAATGAAGAAAATTAGCTTAGATTTCAAGAAAATACAAAATTCAGTGTTGGTAAATGGTGGGGTTTTAAAAAAAATTAAAAAAAAAAAAGAGCTTAAATTTCAAGAAATTTGCAAAATTGGGTATTGATAAAATGATGGGGTTTTGAACAAAAAAAATGAAGAAAATTAGCTTAGATTTCAAGAAAATACAAAATTCAGTGTTGGTAAAATGTTGGGAAACAAGGAATTAGCATAACTTACACTGTGACTGAGTGAAGGGGTGGTGTAAGATTTGATGTGGGATTGAGTGAAATCAATCTCAAAATGCTTTTCTTGATGTTGAAATGGTAATGGTTTTATTGTGGATTGTACTGGTACTACACTGTCATTTGCTGAATTATAATTGGGTTGAGAATTTGTGTCAATAGAAACAGAGTAGTCAAAATCAAGAATGTTTTCTGAATCTGAAAATAAGAAATCCATTGGTTTCATTTCCATTGTATTTACTGGAAGTTTGGTAGTCATTGTGTTTGGAGAAATCCATGGATCAAATTTATAGTCTTCTTCATGGTGTCGGAGACAAGCTGTAACTTTACTGAAGTCAGGAGCTATAGCCGTAGTCGTGGTCGTGGTCATGGACGTGGAGTTGGAGTTGTTAATCGAAACGAGGAGCGTGGCGGCAGTGGATTTCACGACGGATTCGACGGGGTCGTAAAAAGGGACCACGGGAATCCGCTCGTGGCGTTGAGCTAGAGGGTTTGCAGAGTGAATGTCGCGGTCACATGAGAGGCAGAGGGCGGCTGCGTCCGCCTTGCACGTGACGCTGGCCGCCGCCTGCTCGCAGACCTCGCACATCCATACGCGTTCGTGGCGGGCGTTCCCGTGCACCCGTGTGTCGCAGCCCAAGCACATGAACATGTTGTCTGTTCGACAGAACACGAGTGCGGCGTCTAAGTGGCAATACTCGCATGGTTTTGCCACTGCTGCCGCCGCACCCCATCCTCCGGAAAAACAATTTGCGCCGCCTCTCAATATGCCCATATTTTTCTCTTTCTTTCTTCTTTCTTCTTTCTTCTTCTCTACTAAATGTGTGAGTTTGGATTTTGCAAAATGAACAGCTATTGCATCTTCTTCTTAAGGGAAATCTTGATGCTGACGAGTATAGGGGTGACACGTGGGTTGAGTTTTGGCCACAAAAAAGATTTATGACAAAGCAAGTGGTATTAATTATATAAATTGTCATATGTCTGTGCCGACGTAGGGCCTACTTTGACAGGGGTGGGTGGTTTTGTTCTTGGGNGAGTGAGATTTTGAGAAGTGGGAAGTGAAAAGTTGTCTGATTTACTTTTTCACAAGATTAGATGTATAAGTTTAAGTTTCATAGCTTTTCTTGTAAAGTTGTTTATTTGCGATAGTAAAATGAGGTCATAATGACGGTAAGGGTTAACTGAGTTGGTTGAGTTAGTGGTTAACCATATGAGAGATCTGAGATCAATTCCTGTCGTATCGGATTTGCCTAGTGCAATTTACATCTTCAGTGTGATTTGCTACTTATTGTACAGTGAGCGGGTTGCCTAGTATACACCCGAAAGGTAGCTTCCTCAGTCAGAGCTCGTCACATCGGACTTGCCTAGTGCTATTTACATTTCCTGTGTAGCTTGCGAGCTATTGCACAATGAGCAGGTTATCTAGTGCACACCAGAAAAATAGTGACTACATGTTTCCTTGGAAATTTTTCAAAAAAATAAGATCATAATACTGCCAATGATCGTAATTGACAAAATAAGATCCCTCCATTCTTTATTAGAAGTTTCGGATTCAAGTCCTATGATTGAAAAAATCGTACTGTTGATGACGCTTCTTTCTTTAATGGGTTTTACGCGACAGAAAAAAGATAATCATAACAACAACAACAACAACAACAACAACAACAACAATTCAGTAATAATTTCATTAGTGTGGTCTGGGGAAGGTAGAGTGTACGTAGATCTTACCTCTATCCATGAGGATAGAGAGACTGTTTCCGGGAAGATAATCGTATCGAATAGAAAAATTCTATTAACACAACAAAATATGTACAAATAAACAAATTAGCACTTACCTCCCCTTACAAGGTATAGCTCTTGCCTCTTTGTATGTATGGTTTGGGATTGGAAAAGAACCAGATAAACTTTTTGATACACTTTTTTATCCCCCAACAGATAGACAAGAGGGGTTGCTCTGATGGTAAGCAATCCCCACTTCCAACCGAGAGGTTGTGAGTTTGAGTCTCCCCAAGAGCAAGGTGGGAAGTTCTTGAAGGGAAGGATGCCGGGGGTCTATTTGGAAACAGTCTCTCTACCCTAGGGTAGGGGTAAGGTCTGCGTACACACTACCCTCCCCAGACCCCACTAAGTGGGATTATACTGGGTTGTTATTGTTGTTGTTGTTTTTTATCCCCCAACAAAAGTAAATATTATATTACCTCAGCCAACAAACAAAATTGAGTAAAGATGCCCATAACATCCTACAGGATCCAATTTGGAAAAAAGTGCCCCTAAAAATCTTCCTTCAACAGAAAACTTAGCTAAGCTAAAATATCGGATTAATTACTCCTGATGATGTGACGAAAATACGGGATAAATTAAAAAATCGTAAGATTTACAAGTGATCATTCAAAAATATCCACAATTTCAAAAGTAATCGAAATTTAACCACTTTTTATGTAAAGATAAATCTGAACGAAAATACTGTTCAAAATCTGAAAAATACTTCAGTATAATATACTGGAATTCCAATATAATATACCGGAACTCTAGTATATTATACTGGAGTTCCAGTATAATATACCGGTCCAGCATAATATGTTGGAAGTTCATACACAGGTGCTCCAATCTCCAGTATATTATGCTGAAACTTTTCGCGTGTTGGAATTCCAGCATAATATGCTGGACGTTCATACACAGGTGCTCCAATCTCCAGTATATTATGCTGAAACTTTTCGCGTGTTGGAATTCCAGCATAATATGCTGGACGTTCATACACAGGTGCACCGATCTCCGGTATATTATGCTGGAACTTTCTGTGTTGCAGCAAAATAGTGGCTATTTTTTAATGACTTTGAAAACGCTGACTATTTTTAAATGACCAGTCCGAAAACTGGTTAGCTCGTGCTATTTTTACCGAAAATACGAATAGGAACTACAGTCATTTTAAACTCCATTAATATATATATCGCGATATTTTATCAACTATACGTTATATAGGTCTATTACACAAACAAGATTACAAATTTACATTAAAAGGATTAGTTGCCACCCAACATTTGAAAAGACTTTTTGGATGAAATTTAATTTGTTTTTAGTTGTGGCATGAAGGCAAAGGAATTGCATTGAGTTTAGGTTTTGTCATTGTCAAGCATTGAATAACGAAAGCACTACTTCAATTTTGGATGCCAAGAATTATTAAATTAAATCTTTCCTTTTCCTAAAGTAAAATATATTAAAATTTGATGAAATTAGCCATATGCTTTAATTAATTCTCAAAATATAAACTATAGCACTCCCTTTAAACAAACGAAGTTATATTATTATGATACCAAAGAAAATTGACGATCCATTGAGATATGAAGGAAAATGATTAACTTACTTTGGAGATAGATTACTCAACAAAAATATTAGTACCTCTTTCTTAATTTATGTCTCGGATTTTTCTGTTTAACTTGTTCCAAAAAGAATATTATATGAAATAATTTAACTTTAAATTTACTATCTTATCTTTAATGAGATGACTTAAAATCATATAAATATTTATTACTTATGTTAGATCAAAAATATAGAACTTTTTCTTTTTCTTCTAAATTTAATATCAAATCAAACACCGCAACATAAATTGGGACAAAGGGACAATGTTTAGTATTATTGGCATGTTGAGTTTTACTATTACAGTAATGTTTACTCTGGCCAATTAACGAAGTTATATAATGTTTACTATTAATTTAAAGAAGCAAAGTTTACAGAGAATTATGGTTAGGTAGTCGTGTTTTGTCCTTGTTTTGTTACAATAGCTTTAATACACTATTTAAGCCCGTTTGGATATAAGAAATTTTTTCCTTTTTTCCAAAAAAAATTTACTTTTTTTCGAAATAAGCGTTTGTTCGAAAACTTGAAAAACTCCAAAAAGGTATTTTTCAAAATTTTCACTCCAATCACTCACAAAATTTTTAAAAACCCCAAAATTATATTCATGTCCAAACACAACTCTAAATTTCAAATATCATTTTCACTTAAAAAAAAAATTACCCTGTTTTGGAATTTTATAATTCTTATGTCCAAACGCTTAGTGTTTTTATATATTTTCGTCTTTCTGAACTTCTGTTATTACTTGTGTTTAACTTCGCTTCGGTCTTATCTGTACTAACTAGTGATAGTTGTGTGTTTTTGCTTGATATTCCGAAAGGTTTGCTTGTCATTGGCCCTTCCCTTTATCTTCCCTAAGCCGATGGTCTACCATAAACAGTTTCTTTGTCTTTTTAAAGATAGAAACAAAGTATACGTATGCACTACCCTCCCCAGATGCTACTTGTGGATACGCTTAATTTGTTGTTGTAGTTAAGGGTGGCATGTGGGGCAGTTAGGACCGGCCCAGGCCCGCGAGCCCATATGGGTAGTGGACCTAAACGGGTCTAACCGTTTAAACCTGGGACCAAGTGGGGTGGGCTCCTAAGTAGGTCGGTTCACTGAAAAAGCCCATGAGGACCGGGACCATTTGTGCCCGGGATCGGCTGCTAAATGGGCCAGTTCAACAGGTCCTAAACGGGCCCAACGACTATTTTTAAATAAAAATTTTCCAAATTTTTTGTAGCCGTTACTTAAGTTTAAAAAATGGTCGTTGACCTGCAAAAATAGTCGTATATTATTTCTAATATATATAAGCTATATAATTTACAATAAATTGTCTTAGATAAAAAATATTTTAAAAAAAGGCCAGGCCCACTTAGGTCCACATAGGCCCAGGACCGGCCGACTTAGCCCAGGACCATTAGCTCGTGGTCCCGATCCCAACCTGGTTCCTACCAATAGCCCACGAAGTCCAGGACCGTTTAAGTCTGGCCCACGAAGCCCGAGCCCATATAGGACCGCCCCACGAGGCCCGTTTAGGCCAGGGCCCGACCCACCTACCACCCTTAGTTGTAGTACTAGATAATAATGAGGAGGTTATGTTATACCCTCGTGGCTTTCCTTTTATTTTATTCTAGTTGGTTTGGTTTTGGTTCTTCTTTGCCTCATATTATATTTCATCGAGGTTCTAACTGGGAAAAATTTATTCGTATTAATATTTATATCGAATTAATAAATATAAAATATAAATTGTTCAAAATATTTAATTTGTAAAATAATAAGTTGCATAAATTCTATTCCTAAAGAGTTTAAATTCTGAAAATAGTGATATTTCTCCAAAATATCACTATTAGATTTTCTAAAAATTATCCCAAATTTTTGTATTTTATAAAAGAGCCAACCATTTATTATTTTGTAACAATGTTATTTCATCTTCTCGGTCATCTGATAGTGTATCATGTAGTTCATTATAAAAATTATAGTTTTGTACCAAATTTATTCATATTCAAGATTATGGTTTGCGATAATATAATGAATGTTATTGATAATGACATTGTTGTGTATTTGTGATAGTTTTTAGAACTTGTAGGTATAAGACATGTTTCATGTTTTTCCAAAATGAATTTGGGAAATATGTTTTGAAAACCGATGTCCAAGCACATTTTCATCTTCAAATCAAACTCCACCCAAATTAAAATTTTCAAAATAAATTTGAGAATCTATGGTCAAACGTTAGCGTAATGTACGCTTCAAAGAGCAACTCTTGAAATTGAAAGGTGAGAAAAGGAAATTGAAAATTATACTCACACACTTAATTGTGACGGATTAATAGACTGAAACCTTTGCTATTACTACATGTTTTTTGTCATACAAAAAAAAAAAAAAAAAAAAAAAAAAAAAAAAAAAAAAAAAAAGATAAGATGACGTCATGCAGTGCGTAATCTTATGGAAAAAAATTGTTATGTAAACAAATTATAAATTGGCTAAAAAATTATGCAAAAGCCAAAATAGCCAGAAAAACTTTTGAATGTCA